GGAAGGAAGGAAGGAAGGAAGGAAGGAAGGAAGGAAGGAAGGAAGGAAGGAAGGAAGGAAGGATCTTTCCCAGGTTTACCAACACAATGGTGGGTCTACTTTCATTTTTTTCTTTCTTGATGATACTGGGGTTCAAAACCAGAACCACTTGCACATTAGACAAGGGGTCTCCCTGAGCTACACCCCCAGCCCTCGAGTCTGCTTTCTTACAGGAGTTTACCTTCACTTGCTTAAGACGCCTTTGTAGCACTACCTGTGTGTCAAGAATTCCTCTCACACCACTTAAGACAACCTTATTCTGCCAAGTTCTATAATTGCTTATTTATGCAAATTATCTTTTCTCTTATCACTTTGAGACTTATTTGTAGATCTCTCTAATGTGGCCAATACAGAAAATTATTTTTATTCATTCTGGGCATCAATCAAGGGAAGAAACACTTTACATAGTTAAAAGGCACTTAGCCCTGTGTGGGATTCATCATAAGTACTTAATAACTATGAGTTATAGCTGTGATCGCCACCATCATGACATCACAGTGCCTGGAACAGAATCCCTTATTTTGCCTTAGGAGATAAAGAATCCATAAAAGAATTCAGGATGTTATCAAAACCCCAGATACTGCTCAGGGATATGTGTAAAGCCACAAAGAGCATAAAGGGATTTTTCCCTTAAATAACAACGGGATGGGACATTCATTCATTCATTAACTCATTCCATATTTATTCGACTCTAAGCAGACATGGGATAGATGCCACAGCAGATGTTTTTTGTGTCTGTGCATATGTGTGTGTTTGCAGCATATGCATGTATGTGTGTTTGGATGTATATATGTGTGTTGTGTGCATGTGTATAGAGGCATGTCAGAGATCAATGTGGTGTGTTTCCTCTATCACTCGCCACCTTTATTTATGTTTATTTTTAATTATGTGTACATGTAGGGGGTATGTACCTGACTGCAGTGGTCCCATTACCTGGTCCCATACCTGAAGTTACAGGTAATTGTGAGCCATCTGATGTGGGTTCTGAGAACTAAGAGGTCTCTGCAATAGCAGTATGCACTCGTAACTGCTGAGCCATCTCTTGGCCCTCCACCTTATTTTTTGATACAGAGTCTCTCACTGACCCTGAAGCTCAGCAGTTTGGTGAGAATAGCTGGTCAACGTGCCCCAGTGTTCTGTCTGTCTCTAGCCCACTAAAGCTTGGATTACAGGCACATGCTACCATTCCCTGTTTTTTATGTGGATGCTGATGATCCAGCCTTGGGTCCTCATGCTTGTAGAACATGCACTTTCTTGACTGAGCCATGTTCTTGGCCATAAGATGTACTGCTTTTCACAAAGCTTGGGTGAGAGAAAAGATAAACTATGTATGAATCCCAATTGGGGGATGGTGGTTTCTCCTGCTCTTGAGTCCCAGTTGAGGGATGGTGGTTTTTCCAATCTACCCCCCATTCATTTACTTTACCTCAAGCATTTATTGCACATGCATAATCACTTTAAGGAGCATGTGGGAGGGGGTAGACCATAAACTTCATCAATCTTGCCTTTCAACTTATGCTCAAATAAATGCATAGCCCCAGTGAAAACAGTGAAAGAAGCAAGAACACGTTCTAGATCCACCCCTGTGCACTTACTAGCAAGAAACATTATGGTCTTGCTTCCTCTCTTTTCTATGCCTTTGTCTTTTTATTTTCCTGGCATCTTCCCATTCTACTCTTCTGCTACCTGGAATCAAACTTGCAGAACAGCCATGGTAGCACTCTCCTCCCTATTGCCTGGACTCAGGCTGGGCAGAAGAATGAGCCCCTTCTGAAACTGCCCATGACCTTTGGCATGTGCTTGATCAGCTCATCTCTCTTGCCTCCTTATTTTGAAAAGGCCCCACAGTGATTGTGGGCATGCCCCTACTGCTGTTTCACTCTGTGGCAGCTTGATGCCACTTTGCAAAAAGGCTGGAGCTACCCGCAAGACTCCCAGACAAGCCTGGGATTATCTATTTACTAGGACACCCACCCCATCTCTCTCTTCTGCTTCCTACTGTGTGAAATTGAAGGACGTCGGTGAGTTCTGGGTGTGATGCCTCCTTCTTTCATGTTGTCAACTCTGAGCTCTCACGATGGAGAAGCCAGGCAGCGCTACTACTTTGTAATAGTCATTTGACCCCAGAATGCAGCACATCCGTTAAAGCCATGGCTGCTAAATTATTTTTCTCTGACAGACTGCTAACCACTCCGACTGGATGATGAAGGGCATGGAGCGGCTCGAGGGTTGCGGGCCATTCATCACACCACAGCAGTACAGCCATGCCAGGGGCTCATTATCCTCTCGCCTCAGAACCCTTGAAAAGTACACCCCATAGCTGGGTGGGGGGCAAACATAACAATGGGAATCAGGACTGATGAAATGTAAAGCCTGTCCTAGATAGGGTTTGAGGTCAGGGGAGAATACAAGAAAATAAACAATTTTCAGGTTTACCGTAAGTGCTGGTCTGTCTTCCTAGTCAGCCTAAACCCCTTCCTTCTAGGAACTGTGTTATCTCAGAACCACTGTCAATACATCATGGGGCCTCTGTCTATAGATCACAGAAGTCCTAGCTATGCTCTGTGGAACCTTGTCTACATGTCATGCAAACCTCTGTTTCTAGATCCTGAGTGCCTCACTCATAGATCATAGATACTCCATCTATATAGATCATAGAAACTCTATGCACAAATTATAAACCCCTGTCTATACATCAGGGGATCCCCACCTATATATCAAAGCCTCTCTCTCATCTATAGATCATGAAACTTCGGGAAAACTATATCTGTGAATTGCAGAATTCCCTGCCTATAGACCATAAGCTCCCATCTGTAGATCAGTGAACATTCTGTATACACATTCCAATAACCAATCAAGACATCATGGAACCTTTCCCTATATTTTGTGGACTACAACCTATTCATCATGGGCCACCCATCTAACCATCATGGAAACTTCCCATAAATATTCTGTGCCCCTCATCTAAGAAGCATAGAATCATTCACTTATACTTCATGAATTTCCCTCCTTGATGATATATACATCATGAACACCACACCTTCATCCTTCTAGGATGTTCAAGTAAACATTTGGTCCCAAAGGCACATAACTCTGAGGTTCAGGTCTCTAGAGATGTGTCCTTTTGTGATCTTTGACTGATTGTTCTGCTAGCAGTGCCCTGGGTGCAGCAAACCAAACATCTTCACAAAACCATTGCTTGGGCTCTCTGAACAGGGCACTTTCCACCTCCCCTGAGCAAGGACAATTCTTCCAGAGTTTGCTTTGAGAATCTTGTAACAGTGCAATTTCTGGAACTTGGACACTGACACCAGTATTTAATGTTGTCTTCCCAAATTCCCTATGTAAGACGAATTTGCAGGATAGCCAAGACACACATGTTATTCCATAGAAGATAACTAAATGTAGTTTGTTCAGTGTTTTAACCAAAAACTAGTGTTACAAACAAGGCTTCAAGGCATCCTAGTGGGAATTCTCTTAGTTGTATGATAGGCTTTGAAACAAATACTTCCTGTGTGCCAGTGCTTAGGAATATCAGGAAAGCATGTTTAAGACACAGCTGTTGAGGCTGGTGAGATAGCTCATTTAGTAAACTGATTGTCATACAAGCGAGAAGACCTGGGTCTATCTCCAGCACCCATTTAACAAGAACGGCATGTTGGTGTGCCCTTGTAATCCCAGAACTCAAGACTTAGAGACAAATGTATCCCTGGATTGCTAGCCAGCCAGCCTAACTGAATCAGTGAGCTCCTGGTCAAAGAGAAACACAGTCTCCAGAAACAAGGAGGAAGTTATCCTGAAGAACGTCAACTGAAGTTGACCTCCGCTTTCTACATGCGCGCCACACACATGCACCTGTACACACACACACACACATACAACACAGCTGAGAATCTTAGTGGGTTCTGGAATGAAGACATAGAGTATACGGGATGTATAGGAGAATTCTAAAGAAGTGTAACCTCCTAAACTTGCCCCTGAG